TGCCTAGGCTGGCCTCGAACCCCTGGGCTCAAGCAATCCTCCTGTCTTGGCCTCCCAAAGTGCTGGGACGACAGGCGGGAGCCACCACACCCGGCCGACCACAGCATTATTCGTAACCACCCCAAAGTGCAGACAACCCAAATGTCCACCCACACACGGAATATGACTCAGTCATGAAAAGGAAGAAGGTCATGACACAGGCTACAATGGACCTTGAGGACATCATGCTCAGGGAGAGACCCAAACACAAAAGGCCATACGGTGTGTGACGGCGTGTATTTGGGACGTCCAGAATAGGCCAGTCTACAGAGAAGAAAGTGGATTCATGGGTGCCAGGGACTGGGAGAGAAGGCTGGAAGTCAGTGATAGCAACTTGGGGTGATGAATCTGTCTGACGTGGGGGTGATGGTTGCATAACTCTGAACATGCTCGACACCAATCAATTATACACGTCACATGGATGAATCTTAGGGTATGTGGATTACATCTTTTTTTTTTTTTTTTTTTTTTTTGAGTTGGAGTCTCACTCTGTCACCCAGGCTGGAGTGCAGTGGCACACCTACGGCCACCCCATTGTCGACCTGCTGGGCTCCGGCGATCCTTCCGCCTCAGTCTTCCAAGTAGCTGGAACTACAGGCACGTGCCACCATGCCCGGTTAATTTTTGTGATCTGCTGTAGGGACGAGGTCTTGACAAGTTTCCAGGGCTGGTCTCGAACCCGCAGGCTCAGGCAATCCACTCACCTCAGCCTCCCAAAGGCGCGGGATTACAGGCTGAGCCACCGAGCCCGGCTCGGATTACATCTTAATAAAGCTACTGTAAAAAAAAGTATTAGGTCAGGCGTGGTGGCTCATGCCTGTCACCCCAGCACTTTGAGAGGCCGTGGTGGGAGAGTCACAGGAGGCCAGGAGTTTGAGACCAGCCGGGGCAACACAGCGAGACCTTGGCTCTACAAAAAAAAAATTTTTTAAATGAGTCAAGTGTGGCAGTGCCTGCACTCCCAGCTACTCGGGAGGCTGAGGTGGGAGGATCGCCTGAGCCCAGGAGGTCTAGGCTGCAGTAAGCTGTGATCATGCCACTGTACTCCAGCCTGGGCAACACAGTGAGACCCTGACTCAAAAAAAAACAAACAAAAACAAATCAGCCGGGCGTGGTAGCGTGTACCTGTAATTCCGGCTACTCGGAAGGCTGAGGCGGAAGGATCGCCGGAGCCCGGCAGGTCGAGGCTGCGGTGGCCGGGAGCGGCCACTGCGCTCCAGTCTGGGCGACCGAGTGAGACTCCAACTCAAAAAAGAAAAAATAAAAAAATACAAATTCTTGTTTGCCTGCAGCTGAGTTGCGAAGAAAACAACAGAAAAAGGTGGGAGGCAAGAAGTTACAATTTCAGATGAGGTGGTCAGGGAAGGTGTTTCTGCAAAGATGACGTGTGAGCAAAGACCAGAAAGAAAAGGACATCATGGCACAGAATTTCTATTCATTCTTTGGGTGTGAAATTATATGCATGATGTGAGTGCGCATTTGTCTCATTTCAGTGAGTTTTGCAACCTTCACGGGATCTAGAACAGAGCCACCCACTGACGTCACATGAGTTGAAGAAGCAACTTTAAATTGTTCTACTATTGACATCTTTTTTTTTTTTTTGTGAGTTGGAGTCTCACTCAGTTGCCCAGACTGGAGTGCAGTGGTTGCTCCTGGCCACCGCAGCCTCGACCTGCTGGACTCCGGCGATCCTCCCGCCTCAGCCTTCCGAGTAGCTGAAACTCCAGGCGTGCGCTACCACGCCCGGCCAGTTTTTGGTTTATTGTAGAGATGAGGTCTCACCAAGTTGCCCGGGCAGGTCTTGAACCCCGCGGGCTCAGGCAATCCTCTCACCTTGGCCTCTCAAAGTGCTGGAATTATAGGCGTGAGCCACTGCGCCCAGTCTTTAAAGTATTCTTTTTTTAGCTGGGCTCGGTGGCTCAGCCTGTAATCCCGTGCCTTGGGAGGCTGAGACGAGTGGATTGCCTGATCCCAAGGGTTCGAGTCCCACCTGGGCAACTTGGCGAGACCTCATCTCTACAATAAATAAAAAAATGAGGTGGGCGTGGTAGCGCCCGCCTGTAATTTCAGCTACTTGGAAGGCTGAGGCGGGAGGATTGCCGGAGCCCAGCAGGTCGAGGCCGCGGTGGCCAGGAGTGGCCACTGCACTCCAGTCTGGGCGACAGAGTGAGACTCCAACTCATAAAAAAATAAAAATAAAAATAATAAAAAACTAGCCGGGCATGGTGGCGTCTCTAGTCCCAGCTACTCGGGAGGCTGAGGTGGGAGGATTGCCTGAGCCCAGAAGGTGGAGGCTGCCGTGAGCCCTGATCCCGCCACTGCACTTCAACCTGGGCAACACAGGGAGACCAAAAAAACTCCAAAAAAACAAAGAACAAGAAGCTGGAGGGACCCCCCACTAGCACCTCCATAGGGAGCCGGTTCTGTAGACACCCTGACTTGGGACTCTGGTCACCAAGGCTCACTCAAGTGCAGAAGCCACAAAACAGGAGACGACAACGGCGTGGCTTGGCCTGGCTTCTCCCCACTGTCAGCTTGTCGCAGGTCTGCAGGAGTCATGTGCTGAGCACTCCGGCGGGCAAGGGCCCTGCTTGTGGGTGCGGCTTCCTCTTTCTGCTTCCTGCACCCCGCTTCCTGCACCCCTGGGCCCGTCTCTTCCCCAGAGCCTCCTTAGGGCCCATCACACCTGGCTCCCTGCCCTGTTGCATTCCGGAGTCAGCAGGGCTGCAGGCCCATGGGAAGTCCTCGGGAAACCTTAGTTTGAGCCACAGACATGATGGACATGAGTCCAGCGAGGTGGCCAGGCGCTGCCGCAAAGCCAGTTCATTGAAGTCAGCTTTTTGTTGTTGTTTCCAGCACCCAGGTCTCGCTCTGTCGCCCAGGCTGGAGTGCAGTGGCCTGATCACAACTCACTGCAGCCTTAAACACCCGGGCTCAGGCCATCCTCCCGCCTCAGCCTCCCGAGTAGCTGGGACTACAGGTGCGACCCACCGCACCCAGCTAAAGTTGAAAAGAAATTTTTAAGCTGGGCTTGGTGGCTCATGTCGGTAATCCCAACACTTTGAGAGGCTGAGGCGAGAGAATCGCCTGAGTTCAGGGGTTTGAGACCAGCCCGGGCAACTTGGTGAGACCTCAACAGTAAGTCAAAAAGGAACGGGGCTTGGTGGCGTGCATCTGTGGTTCCAACTCCTTGGAAGGCTGAGGCGGAAGGATCGCCGGAGCCCAGCAGGTCGAGGCTGCGGTGGCCGAGAGCGTGCCACTGCTCTCCAGCCTGGGCAACAGAGTAAGACTCCAACTCAAAATAAATAAATAAGCTAGGATAATTAGTAGTGGTGCATGCCGGGGTTGTCAGCTACTCAGGAGACCGAGGCGGAAGGATCGGTTGAATTCAGGAGTTGGACGCAGGAGTTGGAGGCTGCAGTGAGCTGTGATTGCGCCACTGCACTCCAGCCTGGGCGACCCAATGAGACTCCGTCGCCGAAATAAACAAATAAATAGAAAACTCTCCCCAGCTGGGCTCGGTGGCTCAGCCTGTAATCCTGGGCCTTTGGGAGGCTGAGGTGAGTGGATTGCCTGAGTTCGGGGGTTCAAGACCTGCCTGGGCAACCTGGCGAGACCGCATCTCTACAATAAATTAAAAAAAAAATTAGCCCGGCGTGGTAGCGCACGCCTGTAGTTCTGGCTACTTGGAAGGCTGAGAAAGAAGGATTGCCGGAGCCCAGTGGGTCGAGGTTGCGGTGGCCGGGAGCAGCCACTGCACTCCAATCTGGGCGACAGAGTGAGACTCCAACTCAAAAAAAAAAAGAAAGAAAACAGGATTCCTAGCCTTGCCTTCCTATCAGCTGTTTCCCACCCAGCAGCCGGAGAGATCCCCGTACGTCCAGGTCAGGGCTTGTCAGTTCTCTGCCTAGGACGCCCCCGACCATCCTCAGAGCACTGGCCATCACCTCTTAGGTCTTCATGCCAATGTCCCCCCCATCACAGAACCTGGCCGCGCTTCCTGAAACCTCACACCCCACCACACGCCGACTGATCACTGTATCTTTTCTCTCCTTAGCACGTACCGTTATTTAATAGGTTTTCTTTTTTTCTTGTTTTTTTTTTGTTTTGTTTTGTTTTTTGAGTTGGAGTTTCGCTCTGTCACCCAGACTGGAGTGCAGCGGCCGCTCCCGGCCACCACAGCCTCGACCTGCTGGCGATCCTTCCCCCTCAGCCTTCCAAGTAGCTGGAACTACAGGCGCGTGTTACCACGCCTGGCTCATTTTGATTTATTGTAGAGACAAGGTCTCGCCAAGTTGCCCAGGC